TTAAGTCCGGACAGGACTTCCGCGTGTGATTGATTACTGCAAGAAATAAGCCGTCCAACATCGTCGGTCATCAAAAGTCGATATCAGACTTGCCTGCTTTGTCGGCACTTGATGTACAATTTTCGTAACCCTGTCTGAAGGAGGTGGCAACGCGAAACGTCCGTTTCTTCTTCGTTCGTGGTTCGAACTCATTAATTACAAAAACATGGCACATACCATGCAAATTCGCAATTTACTGTGGTGAAATATTAAAAAATTAGTAAAACTGACAGTAATAAGTATACTAAAAAGCATCATTATAAATAGACGATAGTTTCACTTACGACCTTAAATTATAAGTCACGAAAGTAAGTGTTTAGTCAAGCCCTGGCAGACATTTTCTGCATTACATTCCGCTTAGTTTTGTAAGTCTTAATCTCATCCGTTCCCAAGTCTGAGAAACGAAATCCTATTATTATATCCAAATATCTGTCACGGTAGGTACATATCAAAAGTTTTATCAGTCCAAAATATGTATATTCCTACGTAAAGAGCTAACATCTACTTTTTTAAATGAATTTTGTCTCTGATACTACACATCTTCTGGAGCTTAAGGACATTGATCGCTGCAGCTATCTGTTGCAAAAAAGAAGATCATTTGTTACAAATAAAATATGTTTCAGTAATCACAGATGGTACACGACGTATTTCCGCGATTTAACGGTACATTACCCCCTTTCAATAGCTTTGTTATGAGTATCTTAATTCTATGTCGTTCTTCTGGAGTTCTTGGCGGTGTTTGGGAGCTATACACTGTGTACATGACGACAAAAGGCTTAACATGAACCAAATAAAACACCACAACTGACATAAGTTGGGTTTCCAAGCAATCATATTGCAATCAATACAGTAACAGCACGAAATGTGACGCATGGACAGCTGTTGGAAAGATAACAGGAGTGGCCAGGCATGAGAATTAGACACATGTAGGCGAATACGAGATGATAAAACATCTTTCACATTGCTTTCCTAATCACTAATCATTCTGAAGGGAGTCATCTTACTCAGAAGGAAAAATTATTCACTTTTATGCATTCTTTACACTCAGTGTCAATGCGTAAACCGAACGACAAGAGGAGGTCTTGTTTCCTCTGTCCGGATATTTTAATTTCCCAAATCAATGATGAATTTTATAAACTTTTATAGTAGTAATGGTTGCGTGTCACGAGCAGTTCGTCAGGACAAGACTGGGCACGAACGGTTACGCTGTACTCTTACACGATTAGCCACCCGCTCATACGCCATTAGTTTTCACGGTGCACTGCGCCATTAGAGAACAATGTGTTTGGAATAGACACGGGCGGAGTGCGCGTGCGCAGTAACATCGACCTCCCCACCCCGTTTTGCTCG